ATATATATATATATATATATATATATGCATACATATGTGTTAGTGTAAAGCTCTGACATCTCCACTACCACTGTCACCGTCACCGCCCCGCGCGTCTCCTCCAAACCCGCACCGCACGTCCCCCCTGAACCCGCACCGCGCGTCTCCTCTGAACCCGCCTGCGCGTTCCCCCTGAACCCGCCCCGCACGTCCCCTCCAAACCCGTCTCGCGCGTCCCTTCTGAACCCACCCCGCGCGTCCCCCCTGAACCCGCCCGCCAAACCCGCCCTGTGACTGTCTGCTGCAGGAACTCCGGCTGAATCGCGAATAGCGGACACTGGGGAAGCGGACACTGAGGAGGCGGACACTGGGGAAGCTGGGGAGGCGGACACTGGGGAAGCGGACACTGGGAGGACATGTAGGCACATGGAGGCGAGGGGGGGGAGCGGGGGAGCGGGGGAGGATGAGCCATCTTTCTTGCGCTATGACCACCCACCGCGGGAACTTGCAGTGGAAGGGGCGGGGGCACAGGCACAGGCGATGGGCGTAGGGGGTGGGAGGGAGGGGAGGGGAAGCAGTGTGATGGAGGCAGCGGCACAGGCACAGATGGGGGCACAGGCACAAGCACAGGCAGAAGCAAAGGCGGCGACACAGATGGGGGCACATGTACAGGCAGAAGCAGAGGCGGCGGCACAAACACATGCACAGGCACACGCAGTGGCAGAGGCGGGGGCGATAGAGGTCGTTCCGCTGAGCCTCGCGCTGGATCCGGATGTGGTGGTGGAGTGGGCGTGTGTCGATGTGGCAGTCGCGCTGGTACGTTGTGTGTGTGGGTTTTTTTTTTTTTGCACATGCTGATGCCGCACCTATTTAACAAATATATGTATAAGAATTCTCTCCTCTTCCTTTGACTGTGTTGATGTGGCAGTCGCGCTGGTATGTTGTGGGTGGGTGGGTGTTTTTTTTTTTTTTTTACTCCGATGCTACATACACCTACTTAAACAAAAGAATGCCTCCCGCCTCTTTTACAGCGTGTAGACTCTTTTTATCAGCATGTAGAAACACAGACATCCCCTCCCTTCCCCCCCCCCAATAGTGTTTTGCTTACCGCCACCGCGGGGAGCTGGCGGGAGGCTCGGCGTCTGGAGTGGCACAGCCGGGCTTGCCGAGGCTGTGTGACGTGGCG